GCACAAAAGCAAAAAAAACAAAAGGAAACAAAAAAGATATCTATTCATTTTTTATCTTTTGTGATGGGGTGTGAACGGACAGTCTGTAGAATTTTCCATCTGGTGTGGGTGAGTGATAGTCTACTTTGATTTTGGTTTAGGTAGATTATCATTTACAGTGTAATCAGTGAGGGGATTCTGCAGACTGTTGAGGGCTCAGCCTCCTGATGAGTCGGTGAAACTCTGACGAAACAGTTTGTCACAGCCCCTCGTTTGTTGTCCTCTTCTTTCTCTCTGCCTACCGTTTACCGGGCAGTTCTGTTTGTGACGATAGATATATACATATATGATGGCTTTTTATTGCATTGACCGGAATGGAATGGAATACTACGAATCGTGATCGGATTCCGGGCCAGGTTCGGACGCTTAGAAGGGAGTACTGAGCAAAAAGCTTTTGCAACTTGTTCTTCTCGAAGGCATTGATTGAGCAACTTCGCGAGGAACCGGGACCAGTTTGGGACACTGACAGCTAGTTTGTTGTGCGATGATTTTTTTCTAGAATATATATGACAGCTAGTTTGTTGTGCGATGATTTTTTTCTAGAATATATACATATATATATCGTCAAATAGATATATATATATATATATTCTAGAAAAAAATCATCGCACAACAAACTAGCTGTCATATATATTCTAGAAAAAAATCATCGCACAACAAACTAGCTGTCAGTGTCCCAAACTGGTCCCGGTTCCTCGCGAAGTTGCTCAATCAATGCCTTCGAGAAGAACAAGTTGCAAAAGCTTTTTGCTCAGTACTCCCTTCTAAGCGTCCGAACCTGGCCCGGAATCCGATCACGATTCGTAGTATTCCATTCCATTCCGGTCAATGCAATAAAAAGCCATCCCGTAATAGAGGCTATCTTCTGTTTTCTGCAGGACCAGAACCAAAAATCCTGGGCCGGTTCAAAAAACCAACCAGGCTGTTAGAGGCCCAGATCGTCGATTCATTCTTAGTCTTCTCAAAACAACAGTCCAGACAGGAGGGGAAGGTCGATTTCATTTCGATTACACACCCAAAAAATCCCAAAACCCCAAACCCCAAACCGTCATCGGTTCTTTTAAAGCACCAGTACACCGCACATCGGCCTGCGGGTGTCAGCTCGAAACCCGGACCACTTCAGAGGCCGCCCATTTTTTTTTCAACAGCTCCCCACGCCGTGAGGCCCCTCCAAGTTTCGCTTGTGGCGAAAAAAAACTTTCTGCAAGGCTGGGGCCGCGTACTTTCAGAGGTCGCAATAATTTTGTTGGGTAACACCTTTCTGCAAGGCTGGGGCCGCATACTTTCAGAGGTCGCAATAATTTTGTTGGGTAACACCTTCCTGCAAGGCTGGGGCCGTGTACTTGCGGTTTAGGGCTCAAGGCCCCTTGGTAACGGCTTTCAGAGGTCGCATGAATTTTGTTGGCTCTGACAGTTGTTTGACCATCTGTTCTCTTGTATGCCAAAAAGAAGATGGACACATCGTCCATGAGTCGCACACCACATACCAATCGTGTTCGATCTTTTCCCAAGGAGACCAGACACCGCCACTCCGCATGAGCACACATGATGCATGCGAGTCGCACACCACATACCAATCGTCTTCGGTCTTTTCCCAAGGAGACGAGAAACCGCCACTCCAGATGAGCACATATGATGCATGCGAGTCGCACACCACATACCAATCTTTGGTCTTTTCCCAAGGAGACCAGACACCACCACTCTGCATGAGCACACATGATGCATGCGAGCGGCGGGCTGGTACTCTTTCCCATTGGGATCCCAGAAACCCGTCGCAGAATCACATTAGCAGCTGAGGTATTGGTGCGAGTCAGTTCATCAAAGTCGACAAAATCGCATATCTCGGTCACAGCGACTTCCCACCAGCCTGCATACTCCATGTTTCCAACCCTTTCCTCTCTCTTGGATTCACCCGAATTACATCCTTATCACAAAAACACTCGTAAATCCAATCCAATGCAAGACAAATATCGTGACGCAGCAGCCTATTAAACATGTCCTTTACATCATAGGAGGCTCATCACTTTTGCGTCACGGTAAAACGCCCGTTTCATACACCATTCATCAAATTATAAAATGTGATTTTTCAGGTCATGAATTCAGAAGCAGGTTTGCAGCTTTTGCCACTTTTCTACAAACATGGTTCGTTCAAATCTTTTTTTTGATTGACGATCGTGATAGTTGATTCCATAGAAACTCTTGAAAATCAATCATCAAACACATAGATGGGCGTCCCGCCGTATGCTTCTTTTGAACTTAGTGCGATAGTACTTACCACGCATAAGACTACTCAAGTAAAAGACAAGATGTTTTTCAGCAAAATATGATAGATTTTCAAAAGACTATCAAAAAAATACGACAATAGAAAGGTCTTGGAGGCTCGCCGCAGAGTTGGAAACAAAAGACTGCTTGCACGGTTTGTTTGCAATTTGGAGCACAGCGTGTAATCATATCATTTATACACGATTCTCCAATCACTTGCGTACTTGAATGCAAATTCGACTCTTTCTTCGAGCCTAGCGGTGGAACTCTTGACTCTATCGTGTTTTAATGAAATTATGTACCCGTAAAAAATGGTCGGGAAATCCTGGCCTTACGGGTACCACCCTTGAGTTAGTTTTGTTGTTTCTGAAGCAAGTTCCTGGGCTTATAGTTTAATTGGTTCAAACGCACCGCTCATAACGGTGATATTGTAGGTTCAAATCCTACTAAGCCTCTCTGTATTCTGGGTGTATAGCTTAGTTGGTAGAGCATTGGGCTTTTAACCTAATGGTCGCAGGTTCAAATCCTGCTATACCCATAAGGCCACGAATTGGGCGTATAACCATAACGCCAGAAACTAAAGCGATGCTTGAAAAAAAAGAAAGAAGTATCAATGTAGTGATTAATCTTTCTCTAGCTAGCGAGCCCCGATATTTATAATATGTCAGTTTTCAAGACTGATACCTTCAACCACTCAGACATCCATCCAAAGCAAAGACGCCCCTTGTACCTTTCTTTCCACTCCATCAAACACATCGCCAGTGAAGATAAGATCCGGGCCGGTTTTTTTCACATCTACTACAAATCAAATCGCATCTTACTTAGTAGACGGTTGCCTCTTGGTTCGCTAAAGGTCGGACATATGGGCGTGAAGCGGGACAGGGCCTTCTGCTTGGGAAGCACATATGCGCAACCTACTCTCCCAGTCGCCTTCCACTACCCCAAATGTTTTTCCAACCCCCTCCTCTTGAAATCTGCTTAAACCTCATTCCAAATCTGTCTCTCGCCCTTCGTATTAGCAACACATCCACAATTCTTTACAAAAAGCTCATTCATTGCATCCTAGTACATACGAGGACACATCCCAAGTATCTCTCCAGGGTTACGGTCCACCGTTGTGAAGACCATCTTCGCATAACGACCTTGCATCTCTACGACATCCTCCAAAGGCACGTCGCTAGCCTGCCTGGAGCCCACATTGAAGCATCCCCCCCGCTTCTTCCTCTGGATGGAGAGAGAGAGAGAGAGAGAGAGAGAGAGAGAGAGAGAGAGAGAGAGAGAGAGAGAGAGAGAGAGAGAACTCATGATCTGTTCAATTGTGTCAAGTTGTCAACTGTTTCAACAAGAGTTACATGCGCATATCGTTCAGCCAACTGCCAAGCACAGGATGTCTTGGAGTGTCCTACCACTACATGCCTTTGACAGCAAGGAAAAGCAAATTAGAGGAAAGTAGACGTAGAAGGCTCATGGGTACTGCATACGACAGTGCATAGTATCATCAGTGTTCCACGTTTAGAATTATTCAGAAGTGTGCAGACCGGCGTGTCCCTGAAGGTGTGTGTGTGTGTGTGTGTGTGTGTGTGTGTGTGTGTGTGTGTGAGAGAGAGAGAGAGAGAGCCTTGTACTCCTTTTTTTGGGGCGGACCTTTTTTTCTTTCCCTTTTTTTTTTTTTTTGCGCCGCATCGGGTGCGAAGCGTGGTGCGGTGCGCGAGGCGCGCCAGACGTGCGCTGAGGCGCGCACCTCAATTCGCCGCAACTATGATCTTTCTTCTTTGGTAATAGTGGGAATTTCGAATGGAGAAAGAGAGGATTACTGCTTTGTCCTACTTACCTTTTTTTTTTTTTTTTTTTTTTTTTTTGTCCTACTTACCTAGGCTACCCCCAGCCAGGCCGCCCGGGTGGCCTTGTTTTCCCGGGCCGCCCAGCTGTGCAAGGACCATGGAAGGTCCCAGCCAAAAAAAAAAAAARAAAAAAAAAAAAAAAAAAGAAGAAGAAGTGGAGGTACCCCACGTATTCAAATTCAGATTCTCCCTAAGGCAAAAATCGCAAATTGACGAACGGGCCTAGCTCAGTTGGCACACCCCGTGAACTGTTGAAATGCAGATCCAAGCTCGAACCGGAAGCAATCAGATGAACAAAATTACAAAAAAAAAAAAAAAAAAAAGCAAATCCAGAGATCCTTCCCTGTGTAAAGCATGTCCCGGAAACCGACACGGCCAAAGAATGAACGGAACTCGCAAAAAAAATATAGACCTTGAGCAAAACAATATCTCGTGCATTTAGCCACGATCTCCTTCTTTATTTATTTATTTTTTTTATTTTTTTGGGGGGGGGTCACCATCCTCAAGTGATCATCCTGCATCATTTGCATAAAATGAGAACGACCTTCCCCCCCCCCTCTCCTCCACCATGCTCTCAGAGAATACCATCTTCAACCAGGTGGGCCCAGAATGACCTTTTTTATTCTTTTTTCCTCTTTTTTTTACTTTTTTTTCTCCCCCACCCAACCAGTCAATTCAATGATGAGACATCAATGCTTCCTCACTTCCCCCCCCCCTCCAAAAAAAGGGTCAGGTGGGCCTGGAATAACAATTTAACAACAGCTGGTTCAATGTCCGATCACACTCCATGAAGCTTTTTTTTTTTTTTTTTTCTTGTCTCCCGAAAGAGCAAGGCGAGTTTGTCATATGTATACCTACCTTTGATAATTTGAAATGAATGGCCAACGGAAATGCATGGCGCCCAACATCCGGTCTGTCTGTTCGGATTTCGTACGGTTCTTCTTCAAAGCTGCAAAGCGAAGGAAATTCCGGAGACATGAATAACATAAGCAATCTGTTTCTTTTTTAATATATTCAAAACAAAAAAAAAAAAGGACTGCCTGCTTAAAAAAACACTAAAAACACCTACCATCTTCGATGAACCACAACCTTATGTTTTTGTGAAGCATTCACTTGATCTTGTCGGATTTTTTTTTTTTTTTTTGCCCCCCAAAAAGCAACCATTCCATTATATGCCGGAAAACGGGTCCAGTTGGGCGTAGCTTACATATCAGCCGCAGCCATACAGAATTGCGAAAAGCACTCCCGACCAATCCCATCCCATCCCATACCCAACCGGGGAGGAGGAAGAAGGAGAAGAGGGAGGAGTGGGGGGAGGAGGAGGTGACGGAGGAGAAGGAGAAAGAAGGAGAAGAGGGAGGAGGAGGGAGGAGGAGGGAGGAGGAGGGAGGAGGAGAAGAGGGAGGAGGGAGGAGGAGGAAGAAGAAGAAGAAGAAGAAGAAGAAGAAGAAGAAGAAGAAGAAGACAAAGACGAAGAAGAAGACGAAGAGGAAGTTCCCTAGCAAAGGAAGGTGCTGTTGTTGTAGAGACTGACTTTACCTGACACAGGTCTCCTCAAGTACCTTCGACAAAGGCACAGGATAAAGTGCACCCAACACTTCACAAGCACGTGTATGCTGTGACACACCATCGTTTGCCTTAGCAAGCCTGAGGAAGAACTGTGATTTCTTTGTCGAATTCGGTTTGTTCTTTGAAAGATTGAGGACAGCCTGCATCGATTGAGAAAAAGCAAACAATTGTTTGTAAAAAGAGAAAAAGCAACATTCAGAATTTCACAGTCATTATTTCACTCATCTGCAGCCATCAAGACTCCAACTTGGGTCTGTTTATCGACGGACCGATAAACCGACATGAGCTCAAATCTTGATGAACATTGTATACCTGCAAAGTGAAATCAGACTCGCTTTCACTCACACTTTACATGCATGCAAACAGTAGCGCAGCAGACTGGCGACATGCGCCCACTCAAACTCAGAGATATGGCAACCCAGCCACGAGTTCACTCCCAATGGCTATGGCGATATAGCGCCCATACAACTCTATGTTCGCATACAGTGGATCACCCTGGATATCCCGCACGCGTCTCTCTGAACACTCACACACACACACACTGAACACTATCTACAGCTATGGCGGCTATGGCCGCCTCTACCCTATCGCTATGGCTACACTTCGTCTCTCTGCCCACTTCGTCTTCGGGCTCACTGCAGACCTCCTTGCACAAGTTGCTGTGGCAGCGCTTCCGCATGGCTCACGCAGGAATGAATGAATGGCTGGGCGCTGCCTCTTGATTTATACTTCTGCAGCTCGTTGGTCTAGCCCTTTCCAATGCCCGAAATGCACACAGTCCCATGCGGAACTTGCTGGACTGGACCAGGACTGACTGGGGACTGGGACTGCTGACTCAGCACGGGTAGACTCCACCACTTGACCACTTGCCTCGCCACTTGCCCACTTGCCTTAGTCTGAACGTGGGCAACTTCGAAAGGCCACTACTGGGACCTTCCGGAAGGCCGTAGACTTGGCCTTTCGTGACTGTAGCAGCCACGACTTTGACCCTTCTGGACTGTAGCGGCTACGACCTTGACCTTTCGGGAAAGCTACAGCTACGACTTCTAGACCTGACTAAGACTCCTACTCGACAGGTCTACAGATCGAACCCCTGCGACCTCAGGCCCCTACGACAGTCTACCTCTGTTACAAATACACAGGTCACGGGTTCAACTCTAAGGGCCGACACAGATACTATACACAGGTAAGGTGGGAACTAGGGTTCGAGCCCTGGGATCTGCATCAGCTACTGCATATGGTGAATGCCGTTTCAAAAGGGAGGAACACAGTTTTTAAAACATACCTTTTCACTTTTGTTGGCATGTTTGACAATGTTAAAAGAAAAAAGAAAAGAAAAGAAAAGAAAAATAAATAAATAAATAAAAAAGTATAGTCCTATCTGTGCCTGCGAAGAAAACATGGTCCACAGGTTGACAGGACTCGATATTCCCACCCATCAGCTCCTATGTTTTTCTGAAGCGAGGTTCATGTTGGGCTATGTGCGAGTTGGTTCTCTCTCTTCTTCATTCCACACCCGCCCCCCCCCCCCCCCCCCCCCCCCCCCCCCCCCCTCTCTCTCTCTCTCTCTCTCTCTCTCTCTCTCTCTCTCTCTCTCTCTCTCTCGCTCTCTCTCTCTCTCTCTCTCTCTCTCTCGATTGGATGTACTTATCACATATGTGATCCCATGCATCCAGATCTCTCACACATTAACAAATAAAGGAACATAGTGCAAATTGAGAGATATGTGGAAAATGATTCACACATTCCATTCCTTATCCGTCTCACGAAAGATCCAAAAAACATGGCACATCAGTGCCAGTCACCACCTTCAAACCAGCGGCTTCCCCCTACGCCTCGTTTCGATCGGTTGCCAGCCGATCATCTTCACAGGGGGTACCTCAAACCCAAACCAAAGGACTGGCTTCTTTGTCACTGTTAGTTAAATACTGAGAGAATCTACTGTTCGTGTCACATGTCCCGAGGCCAGATGTCCACTTGCCCGTTACAATCATTTAAATCAAGCATCGGTCTACAATGAGTTACTCCGCAATATCTCATCTGACACCCTTGTCCGTTGGCATCGCTTACTGAACACCGTCTCGATTTTTGAAATCCGGTAGTGGGGGGTCTGCTCAGACAGGTCACAAGTTCAAGGCCCCCTACTAGCCTGTGGCTAGACTCGTGCTCCATTTTTCTTTTCCCGCCCATCCTTCTTTTCTGTAGTATCATTTCTTCTCTCTCTCTCTCTCTCTCTCTCTCTCTCTCTCTCTCTCTCTCTGATCCTCTTCTACCTCCATCCTTTTAGAATGGAGGTGTTCCAATTGAATGCGTACTCTAGACCCAAAGGTCTGATATGTCTGCGTGATGATATCTTTTGGGAAAGATCTCATCCGAAGTTCCTTTCTGATGCAGAGTAGTGGTAGATCTCGCATGTTAGAGTCTGTTGTGGATCCCATGATGCGGTACAAGTAACTCTTGATCGTCGCAATCTTGGTCTGTTTGTCGGCGTAGGAGGTATAGTCCTAAATGCCTTGGTAGATGATCATGTTGTCTTGCATAATGCTCTCTTGATTCTTCATCTGAAGGATTGATGCGATTCTCAGGCCATCGTGGTCCACAAGGACCGTACATCCAAGGAACAGCAACGTATTGCCGTCCTGATCTGTTCATTTCAAAGAAAGCTCAGCCGGGTAACAGGTCTGCAACCTGTGTATGATGTCTCTAGCTGCGCATGCAGAGTCGGCCTTTTCTCTAATATATTGCACAAAAATGGCCACATCGTCCATGAGTCTCAACCCCAGGATCTTCTTGCGATATATTGTACGAAATCGCTTCACTCCTGGCGCATAGGATGCATGCAAGGGCCGGACTTGTGTGCCCTCCCATCAGGATCCCTTCTATCTGCCTGATGAGCTCTCCTTCGACCAGATTGAAGGAGTGATCTAGTTCATACTCAATCCACTCGTTTATGAGTTCAAATGTAACTGAGTAATGTCCATCTCTTGCCTTCTGCCCCATCGCCAGTTTCTTTCCTCTGCAGTTCACAATCACTCTATCATACCCCTTCGCTCTCATCACTGATATCATCCACTCCACTGATTGTCTGATCTCCCCATGAGACAACTCAGCAAACATGTTTTTTATGTCAAAACTGGTCGTCATCACCCCTGATCTGGAGTCCAGCTTCCCCGCCCATACTGTGAGCCTTTGGATCGCACTCTCCGCAGCTGTCGTATTAAAATGTATTTTCCTTGCAAGGTTTCCAAGCATGCACTGCATAGCCTTGGCCACCATCTTCGCTCCTTCTGTCGTCGGTGCGTTCCATGTGGGCGCTATTGGTCTCCATCTGCTACGATCATTGTGCTTCGGTACTACGTAGGAATCACCGAGCCTTCCTTTCCCTCGCCATGATCCCAGTTTTTTCAAACCCATCCCTTCATAATCTCGCTTGCTTAGTGCAAGTGCTTCTTCTATCGAAAAATCACCCATCCTAAAACTATCACCGGGCCAAAATGTATCCCGCAATGCTCGTGCATAGACGACTGGCAGTACCACCCTAGTTTCTATCCAAGCGCATGCATACTAATCCGGCTAAGTGGCTTCTCCAATAATGCGTCACCTGATACCAATCTTCATCGTTCAGATCTCTATTCTTCACAAAGCAGTCCACGTCAAACAAATTTACGGTGAGAGCTTTTCCAGCATTACTGAAAAGTCCTCCTAATCCATCCAGCATTGCCGCCATGATGCCACGTTTTACTTGTCTCGTCTTTTGTGCGGGTATATTCCGCGCATTAAGAAGGAAGTCCGGAGCATCAAGATCGGATAGATGACATCGCACATGACCTTCCACCAGTGAGAAGGGGCTATCTGCACACCTGCAGATGCAACCATTCGAGCGTGCATAATCCCGATGGTTGTGAAGCAGATCGCCGATCGTCCGTTTTTTCATCCAGACGATGCGAACATATCTTCGCACAATGTTGGTAATGACCTCACTTTTACCCAGTTCTCCTATCTTTTCTTTTGCGACAGCTCCGATCCTACCTCGGTCTATTCTATCGTCATATGGAATTTTCACCATAATTTTCATCCTCAGGTTTATCCCTGCTTTCTCGTTAATTACTCGAGATAAAATATTCCTCATCCTTTGTCTGCTCCCTTTATCGTAACCCCTAGTAGCCTGGTACATATATGTCAACTTGTCTACTACCTTCTTCCACAGCAGTTTTCGCCACCATGGTTGTGCGAGCAACAACAACAATTCTCTCCGGATTTTGGTCGAAAAAATGATTGTCTCCGTTGGATCCTTGATTGTCAACACACCACCATGTTCTATCACCTTTTTCCCTTCCTTAAGTAGGCAAGAGATACCTTGCATGTCAATCGTTGTCATCCCAAATCTTTGTTTGATAACCTTCCAATCTTCGAACCATATGTCACCCGTACATATGATGCGTAGATTCTTCCCTCCGCACTTAATAGCACGTGCTAGGTGGTCAATGATCTTCATGGTCGCTGCTCTCTTCACATCTTTGAATCTCAAGATGCTTCCTCTCTTTCCTCTCGTATAATCCAATCCTTTCCTTTCCTCTCCCGTTTACCTTTCCTCTTCTTCCGTTCTTTTGATTGCGCTGGTTTTTTATCGTGTTGGTAAAGCGTTGGAGACCATCGTCGTACTAAGCATATTTCAATGCTCTTCAAATCTTCATCACTTTCCGCTGATGTGAGTGGTATTGCTACATATTCCTCAGTTCCTATTTTCCGTAGCCATCTATATAGAGGTTGGCTTTTACTCTCGTTCCCGTTACTGCAAGTTACGTGCTCCTTCCATCGAAGGCATAGCTCTCTGCTCGTGCGCCACATATAGATTTTTCGACATTTCGTCAAGATCAGAGCGTAGACATAACTTTTCGTCTTATCCCATTCTATATTCTCATATTTCCATAGCTCGCGGAACTTCTCCACCCACGGAAGTTCTCCGTGCATCATGAGAATCACAACCACACACCTTAGAGCAGTATTGATCTGATTACATATGCCATTGTCTCTAATATGTTGTCTATAGGCTACCAGTGAGTTTCATATTGCCCATGCTCGTTCGAGGTCAACACGTCATGTATCCACCAGATCCGGATCCCTCGTAGGACTAATTCCAAAGTCTCGCTCATTCCCCCTGCTCGTGCGTAGGATCGCCTGTTGCAATCGCCTAACAACCAGTCCCTTTATCACCTTATCCCTGGTCACGTAATCGATCCGCTCTCTAGCACATCGGCTCCCGCCTTTTTGCAAAGCGCGGGAACCCTCCCGACAATGTCACATAGGAGCTAAACCCAAACAAAATTGCGACAACTTGGGGATGACGCAAAGTAATCCCGCTGACCACCAAGGCAGATGTAGTCGCATCGTTCCTGTCGCCTCTCTAGCCAGGTGCGCCAGCTATACATCCCACGGTCCCCTACGACAGAATAGGTTCCCGTGGGGCATAAGCTTTCCTTCCCTAAGGGGTTGTCACCACCCTTAGGGGCGTATCCTACCGAGCTACTGACCCACGTGCGAAAGCTTTTAAATGCAATCGCAAAGGTAGGTCAGTCGAGGGCGTTTGCTCATTCACTTTAGTATAAATATGCTTGGTTAACGACATACGAACCCTATTGTCGTCCGTTTCTTAGGGTGTTCATCTCCTAAGTACGAATCGTACGCCGGTCGACTAGAACTGTCTCAACCAAGCGTAAAACCCAAATATTAATCCTACTCCCTTTGGACACCAGTCGAAAGAAAATTATAACAACCACACATTATTATATCAAAAGGATCGACCGTTGTCGATAGAAATAAATATTCAATCTAAAATAAGTTTAAATAACAACTAAAAGGATCAAAATCATCATTAGATACTTCCAATAACACAAAATCAAAATAAAATCCGACCACCCCGGATCGAACTCCACAAAACAATCATACAACCGCTAACAAGGAGTTGACTTCGATAATGCAACCGACAAGGTAGTCAGATTGCCAATTTTGACTTGATGAGACACGTTGCCAAAGTCATTCATTCCAATCTATCTCCGACCTAAGGTTAGGCATGCACACACCCGTCTCCATATATTCCCAATCTTTTTGGATCACAAGCTACTTTGCTAACGACTCTTGATCAGGTGCATTGCTTGAAGTGTTGCATGCCTCTCCCTTTAGGAAGTGGTCTGGGTACTCCTCCTCGCCCAAGCACAAGACTCGGATCCTTGAAGTTCGGCCGTCTCCACCGAATTGGCAAAGTACCCCCCCGTAGAACGGTCCGCTCTGGGTCGATAACAAGGTCGGCTCCTAAAGACACGAACACCCGCCCCAGATGCTTCCTAGAGAAAGAACATATACACCACAAGTAGGGTTCAGTAGTTCTCTTTTCTCCTAAGTTCAGGGTAACTTGGACGAAAAGAAATCAAAGGAGATAAAGAATTAGAATCATTTGGACAGGTATAGGTAGATAATGCCATTCGGTATAGAAAGGGTCATTCCTCTGGAGAAATCTTAGTCCATTTGACCTTATCTGCATTATTTTAATCGAATTCATTCTACGACACACACTAATTTAATCTTTTTCAAAACAACAAGTCGTTTTTGACATAAAACAGGTGAGAAGTAAACAGAAAACAATCCTTTTCTTTTTCTCCAATAGGTAAAATCAATCTTCCTTTTAAGCATCTCTTTTTACCTACCTGCACACAAATCCGAAGCAAACAAGTTAGGGAAAACCAAACAAAAACCCATACCCAAAGTCAGGCATTTTCATTCACATGCATGACTCGCACAACTTTACTCTACCTTTTCCTTTGAATATTCAAAACGAACAGGGTCAAGCAAAGTGTGGGTTTACACAAGTGTGAAAGGAAATCTGAGTCAATCAACTGATTCGAGTGAAGTTTGGTCCGACTCACTCAAGAAAGTCGAGTAATACTCCAATCAAAATAGAAGATCACCGTCGTTTGAAGTCAATAGGTATGACCCACAACTCCACAAGTTGTGGCCATTCCACTAAGCGATGGTCTGCCTCCTCCAAATGCCCTAATGAGCAAAAGTCGGGTTCATTGAAAGAACTCCAATGGCTAACCCTCCAGGACGGTGCTCCCAAGAATAAGTCTCATATGGTCCAAAATGCCCTAAACGGTACTAATGCAGTCCCGATTGCATCACGACCTGTCTCATATGGTCCAAAATGCCCTAGACGGTACTAATGCAGTCCCGATTGCATCACGACCTCTAATGATATTCCCCAACCAACCACATGTCCATCAGCGAAAGGTGCAAGTTTGGAAGCGTGGAAAACAAGGTAAGTGCTAAGTGACCAGGGATACGAATGACGTCCGCGGGACCATCCAAATCATTCCCCACGATATCCAGGACTTCCCAGGGACCGAAATACTGAGGCATTAGTTTCCTAGAGATGCCAAACTCCTGTCCCAGTTCACTAGCCTTGACCCAGACATGTTCCCCTACCTGAAATGTGGACTGTCGACGACGCTTATTCTCAGAAGCAATCATGACCTCCTGAGATTTCTTAATGTGTTCGACAATCTGCTGCAACAGTTTCTCATACTGGACACCAAATTCAATGGTTCCAGGAGTTGCAGCAATTCGATTTTCAGGCAGGAGGAAGTCTAGAGTAGATCTAGGCTTCCATCCCTGATGTAGTTGATTAGGATTGACACCGATGGTGTTGTGTACCGCGTTGTTGTACAGACTGGTGATGAGAGGTAACTTCTCATCCCCGTCATCCTAGCTGGGCTTGATGTAATGCCTCAGCAGGTGCTGCACCACTCGGTTCATCTGTTCAGCCTGCCCATTTGCTTCGGGATGATTCATAGAAGTCATCTGAAGCTGGCTGCCCATCTGTTCAGCGGCCTTCTTCCACATCTCACTAGTGAAACGAACATCTCTATCACTAACGATAGTCTTAGGCAATCCAAAATCATGCACCCAATTGTCCATGAACAACTTGATGATGTGCTCAGTCCTGGCAGTCTCTGGCATGGCAATTAGTCTAGCATACTTAGTGAACCTATCCACTATCACGAAGATGTACCTCTTGCCATTCTCGTTGGTCACAAGAGTATCCATGAAGTCCATGGAGATACTCTGCCCTGGGCCAGTAGGAATGGGTAAAGGCTTGAGTAACCCAAGCGGAGCTTGAGTCCGCGACTTGTCCCGCTGACAGACCTGACAGGTCTCCACGTACTTCTTCACATCGTGAAGCATGTTGGGCCACCAGAATCGTTGTACTAAGTTAGCACTCGTCTTCTTATAGCCGAAGTGTCCCATTGCGTCGTGGCACTCACCTAAAAATCAACTACGCAAAGTTTCCCTAGATGGAACAACTAACCTCTTGAACCCTGCCTTCTCAAGAAAGAGCAACCCATCCACCATCACAAACGCATCAGTGGTGGCCTTATCTTTAGCCTGTAATTTGTTGATGATGTCCATCGTGATGGGATCTTCCTTGTAGGCTTCATCCAACGACCGAGTCACGTCCTCAGACAAACCAAACTCAGAAATCAGCGCACCTAGGTAATCTGCCCTCATAGACAATGCATCTGCAACCTTGTTGTACTCTCCCTTCAAATAATCTAGTTTGAAATCATATTGATCTATGACTTCAATCCAGCGTTTGAGTGCATCGGAGAGAACTGGTTGAGTCTTGATCCACTTGCCTCCAGTGGACAAGTCACTTGCCTCCAATGGACAAGTGCCTTGTAAAGAGCGTAGAGTTCCCTCTCGTAGGTGGACTTTGCCAACTTCTTTGAAGGCATCTTCCCTTCCTGCTGAGCCAACACTGCGCCAATCCCATATTGGCTTGCGTCAGTGGTTACAACGAATGGCCTTTGCGGGTCGGGTACCATGAGAACCTCATGATGCGTGAGAGCATGCTTCAAACGCTTGAAAGCTGCCTCACACTCGTCGGTCCAGTCCCATGATGTATCGAGTCGAGTTAGATCAGTCAAAGGAGATGTAATCGTGCTATAATTTTTTACGAAATTGTGGTAATAACCACACATTCCCAAGAATGATCTAACCTCAATCACAGACAGGGGTCGTGGCCAGTCACGAATGCTAGCCACCTTCACATCTTCGGGCCTAATCCCATTCGCGGATACCTCATGACCCAAGTACAAGATTCGAGTGCGACCAAACTCGCATTTCTCAGAGTTTATCTTATACTTGTGCTGCCGAAGGAGTGAAGGAGATGTAATCGTGCTATAATTCTTTACGAAATTGCGGTAATAACCACACATTCCAAAGAATGATCTAACCTCAGTCACAGACAGGGGTCGTGGCCAGTCACGAATGCTAGCCACCTTCACATCTTCGGGCCTAATCCCATTCGAGGATACCTCATGACCCAAGTACAAGATTCGAGTGCGACCAAACTCGCATTTCTAAGAGTTTATCTTATACTTGTGATGCCGAAGGAGTGAAAGTACCTTGTCTACATGTTGAGCATGCTCCTCGACAGATCTACTAAAGATAAGCATGTCATCGAGGTACACGACAACAAACTTGTCTAAGTAGTCATGGAAGATCCTATTCATGGCGTGCTGGAATGTACCCGGCGCATTGCAAAGGCCAAAATGTATCACCACAAACTCGTACAGACCGTATATGGTTTGAAATGCTGTTTTGTGCTGGTCCTCTGGTCTAATGGCAATCTGATGGTAGCTGGAGTTTAAGTCTATCTTTGTGTAGTACTTACATCCCTGCACCCTATCCAATAGGTCGTCGATGCGTGGTAGAGGCTCTGCGTTCTTAACAGTGATGGCATTGAGGCCTCTATAATCAATGCACATCCTTAGCGTTCCCCCTTTCTTTGGAACGAACAATACTGGTGAGCCAAAGGGGGAAGTGCTAGGCCGGATATAACCCTTCTCTGTGAGCTCTTTCAGTTGCCGCCGAAGTTCGTCCAACTCAGCTGGAGCCATCCCATAGATTCTACCCTTAGGTGTTTTACTTCCTGGGATAATCTCTATGGCATCGACAATCTCCCTGTCTACGACTCCTGTAGGCTCCTCGAACAGATTTGGGTATTTAGCGACGATGGTCTCTATCTTTGTGGGTGTTTTAACGGCCTCCCCTTTTGCAGAGACATAGACTAAGTACATCCCTTCCTCTTGGTTCTGATTATAATAATTGTAAAAGGCAGATGCGCATAAGCACCCATAGGAGTCTACTAACCTACTGGCTTTGTACTTGGCCAGTCGCACGGTTCTCCCACTACGCAACTCGTGCTTCAACACCTTGTCCCAGTCAAACTGAGGCTTGGCAACCTCGAGGTAGTACATGCCCAATAACATGTCAAAGGGCAACTCGTCGCTCACCATTAATGATATCTTATGGTTTATCTCTCCTCCTGGGTAGGAGAAGGTGCAGACTACATCTTTAACGTAGTCCTCCACCATCATGCGCTTTTTGTTGGCCAAAGCAGATGCTACCGGTCTACTAAGGCGCTGCACCCGGTCCTTTAGGCACAGTCTCTCAACGCAGTTGCGAGTTTCGTGTGGAGCCAATTTCTACGAAGGCGCCGCACTTGCGACCACCCACATCAACTTCCACAACGAAGTGCTCCCCTCTAGGACCTCTACTTAGTGCCACCCAAGACTCACGAGGGTCCCTTGCCGACCACTCACCTTGAAGGTCCTCTAAGGCCTCAGACACATCCAACGTACAGAGTATAGTTGGGTCCATATGCGTCTACAGGGTGACTAAGTTGTCAATAGCTTTGGCCATCTCTTGAAACGGGGAGGGTACATCATTCGCTTCAACGAGAGTAGAAGCAGCTATAACTTCTACTGGCCCTAAGTGTTTCCCGAGATGGAGCTCGTAGAGGCCCCAAATTGAGAAGAAGAGAACCCACCCTTAGGAGGGATCTTCTGCGAGACATTCGGGTTCTTGCATTTGAACTGGGTGTGACCATACTCACCATAGTTGATACAAGCACCTCGAGACCAACGGTCCCGCCACACTTCTTGATTTAGACCCGCTGTAACCCAAACAACTATTTTGTTTGGGTTAGTGGCCTGCCCCTGACTCCTTTGTTGACCGCCCTTGCCGCGGCCAGATGCCTTAGTCTTAACTACGGCGGCGAGGTTGCTACCCTCAACACTCTCCTCGCCGTCAAACTCTGAACCCTCCACAAGATCCGAAAAATCATCGATCTCGATTTGATTTCCATCGGAATCAACCATCATCAATCGACTACCCTTCTTCTTCCACTCTTGTGGAGTCTTCTTCTTTCTCCCATCCGTAGAAGGGGTTTGAGCTCCACCCAGCGTAGCCTCTAAGTCTAGGGCCTTCTTGCTGAATGACTCAAAGGTGTGATACTCTCTGCGAGCCTCGCTGGCTAATAAATTCCTAATGTCAGTGGGAAGACATCTCGGAAACATGGTCAGCAAGACTTGTGGATTGTACTCCACTCCCGGGACGGCGATCAGGCGCTCTACGGCTGTGGTGAGTTCCTGCACACACTTGTACTTTTTAGTATCAAGTCTCAAGAGCCCGTCAGTGGCAATCTGTGCCTGCTGAGGGTTGTGCCAACGAGCCTCCACTAAGTCCATAAAGCTTTCTAATGTATGGGTCTGCGCCCAATCATGCATGTTCCTGCCGAAGCCCTTTGAAGCTACCAATCCATTTAGCCAACGGGCTGCTGAACCCTCTAAGTAGGATGCTAGAGTTATCACCTCCTCTTCTACCAATGTCCTTTTGGCCCTCACCCACACTGGTACCGTTCTCAACCATGTGTCGAGAGCCTCATCCTTCTTGTCTCCTGAAAAGGTTGCAGGTGGGTTCAATAGGGTCTTGGGATACCAAGGATATTGTTGTCCCGCTTGCGAGACAGGTGGCGACTCTGGTGTAGCAACAGTCGCTGGACCAGAAGATGAAGAAGCAACAGTCAGAGATAGTGCTACTGTTAATGAAACACTTGGTGGTGGTCTTGACTGAGCGGCATAGAGACCTGTCATCGCTGAGAGTGGCAGCGATGGTAAAGTTTCTGGCCGGATCCCTAGCTTATGCGCGCTTGCAGAATCTGGTCTAGAGTATCCTGCATTGCGTCCATTTTACTATCTATGTACGCATGCATGGATAAGACACTTGCCTTCAGGATCTTTCCTGTAGTGTTAAGTGCAGAGTCCTCTAATGCCTCTAGTGCAGCCATGTCTGCCTCCCTGCCCTCTAATTTGACACTTCTCTCTTTGATCTTTTTCTCTCTCTTAGTAGCTTGCCTAAGTTCCTCCTCTAATCTCAAGCGGATCCTCTCTACCTGTTGGAGCTCCATCTGCTCCCTGGTGCGTGGAGGCGGCGAGCTGAACTGCGAGCCCACCATCTAACTAGTGCCAACCCCTGACCTGCTGGAGATTGACTGTGAACTGGTAGGCATGCCTAGCCCTTGACCATTTGAATTCGCAGCAGTTGTTGCGGAAGTAGCCATTGCTACCGCTCTAGCTGCCGCTGTTTCTCTTGCAGCCTCAAGATTACGGTCCCTGTCTTCAACCCTTAATCTTCTCTCTTCTCCCGGTTGTAGGGTCTGAAACATTCTAGGGATTCTAAGGGATGATAGCCTTGTTAACCTCCTATTGTCATCTGCACTCTCACCACCCTCTGATCCACTCATAGGTTAGGTAGACGGAACCTACCCCAGCATGCGTCTAACCGGATCTAAAAATACATAATTAAATAACTGCCCGGCAAGTTACCTAGTCTACTAGTCAAGCGGCATCAACAGCATCTACACAAAGTGTACACATTGTCTAAACTCTATCCTGATTAGTCTGCACATAAGATTTGAGAAGAACTATCTATGGTAGATTACAGTCGTACTCTAGTATGTCTGTTAGGTGTCAGCAGTCGATCAACCCACTAATCAAAATAAAACTTAGTCAATGTGAGCAGATGTATGCACAATGGATATGTAAGTGATGAACAGTTGAGTTCTCAATTGGAATCCCCTTCCCCTGTATCTAACGTACTTGTGAGCATCATCAAGCTGCGGTGTCTAAGGTGTGCAACCACGGCGCACCCCTGTGCCCAAGAAGTATGCTTATGACCAGCCTGCCCCTTTGTTTACCCTCGCGTGCAACGAGCCTTACGTCTGAATGATCTGGCTGATCAGGAGAGCCCCCATCTCCTCAGGAATTCTTTAACGTCGCAAACAGGACGACGATCACAGCCAGTGAACAATTCAGACCCCAACCAGAAATGTTTATAGACGGTCTGGGAGCGTCTCAATAGGACTGGTCAGTCCGCACACCCCTTCTATCAGCGCAACAAAGAGCCTCAATGGACAAAGCAGCCATCGCATGCGTGTACTAATCCCATTGGGTTGGCATGGTGACCGTGACCCACGTGCTTCGACCAGGGCCCTTCAGAGGCACCGCCCTCTCCTGCCAGATGCGCCACCGGGAAGAATGTCGTCTCTCAAGATAGAGTGCACTCGACTCCTCACCAAAGAGAGTACACTCAAGTTGGACTCACTTCCTCACGGTAAGAAGAGATTGAGAGGGTAGATAAGGAATGGGAACAACGTACCTGGAGATAGCTGCCCCCAACCACAGATTTCTCACCAATTGGGCTGATGTGCATTTCGATGACCGGTCAATAGCCTCAGTACCACAACGGAATGTAGTGCCACCTCAGCCAAAATGCCACGTCAGCATACTCTCATCATCATGTATACATCCGCTGTCGCCACAGCTCCCACGTTGTCGCCACAGCCTTCCAGCGGCTGGCCTCTCTACCTAGGCCCCGCTATTCAACAAGCGGCAAAGTATACTCACTGCACATGAAGCATCCTCAGTGCACATGAAGTTACAATGTCACCGGTGTCAGGTAAGCGGTGATCATCAACCAGCTCCGATACCAAATTGCAAGGAATATGAGTGTGAGCGATGTACATAAAACCAAGTTGCGAAATCACACAGTTGAGCAAGTACTAGTATCCCAAGTAGAGAGTACAAATGCACCGAGAAAACCATCCATAAAGAGCAACACAATGAAGTATTGTGCCAATGTCCAAGCCCGTAGGCCACACCAACACAGTATCCAGAGTCGCTCTCTCTGTCTGGCGCACAGCGCCCAGCCTACTCTACCATACTATCCTACGCTACAGCTGGTTCACACAACAGGATCAATTCGGCTCACGAAGACCAATATACATGACTGTCCACACCATCGGCGACCTCTCTTCATGTACCAGGTACGCATCTCGTCACCCTCAATCAGACCTTGATTATCCCACACAGCGCCTCACTCCCTAAAGACCACCCCATCATCCGCTGTACCCCTTGGCCCCCAGCAGCCTGGCTATGGCTGCCTGCGCCCCGCTGCCCTGCAGCGCCCCACCTCACCTCTTGCGCTCCGTCAGCGCCCTTGGCAGCAGCACAGCATCAAGCGAGAGCGCAGCAGCACCTCCGCATAGCTAACGCTGGCCAGAATGCCTAGCCTCGGCTGCCTCACTCCCTTTATGGAAGTGGCAGCCTGCTGTATGCTGTGTGTGGCCTGGCTGGAAGCTTCCAGTAGCTTCCGGTTGGGCCCCATCCCCTGTGCCCAGGCCGAGACTTATAGTTGAGGGCCTGGGCCCTTTACAGTTGGGCGCGGCCTGAGTCTCCGGACTTGGGCTGTTAGCTGCATCTGCGCAGGGCCCCCAGGTAGGTGTGTCAGCTGTACTGCTTTTCCGAAGGCCGACGGCCTGCTTCTCAACGTATCGGCCCTGCTTTGTGTGTAGGTGCCCAGGCACAACTTCCGTGGCCTGGGCCAACTGTACGGCACAGCTTAGTGAGGCTCGCGCGTTCATTCAACCAACTGACGCGCTGCAAGAGCCTGAATACCCACATATGGAAATGTCGAATTTGACCTGTGCCGAATATTCAGGCCCGCCTTCACTTAGGGCGGGCACTTGGCTTGCTGGGGCCTTGGCCCAGAACAATGTGATGTCTGATAGGGCCACTTGAGGGCTTGTTCCTCACAATTATAAGAAACTCCTTCCAAAATCGTACTTAACATCCTAATAGAAATTTCCACCCTCAACCATAGAGCTTTCCCAAAAAACTCCTCCCCCCTTCCTCGACCCGCACCTACTTGCCACCCTTCCCCTCAAACCCTACCCCACCATCATCGGGGAAAGAGGACCCCCCTCCTCCCACTGTTAGCTACTAAGCATCGAGGCAATGCTAACACCGAAGACAACAACAGCCATCTCCAATCCCCCAAGGATCAGAAGAAAGTGCGACTCCACCTCACCAAACCCGTCAGTGAGTCGTCGCAGGAGGTTCGAACCCTACTAGACATTCATTCACACCACAATTGAAAAAAGAGGGGGCAGATCAATCCCTTCGCCCAAGCTCTACCTCTACCCCACTCAACATCTTCATTCACTTCCAATCTTGATGATGCGAAACCCGTAGAAAAGCAACCTCGAAAAAATACCAGAAAAAACCGCGCTCGCCAGACTAACAGCTCTGTAGACGGAGAAGGCCGAAGTCGTTTCCCAAATAGAAGTACTCACCTGGATGAACGAAGCACCCTAGTTACAGCCTTCTGCAAAGTCGTCACCCCCGACCCCTTCCTATTGGCGAAATCCACCAAAGCGGTTTACACAACAACCATAGCCACCCCCCCCAACCCTCTTCCTTTCACCCATCACCGCTCGTCACATGCCCTGTCTGCATCCTCTTCCATCGCGCCTTTGCTACTCCCATCGCCCTTCGTCGCCATGCGCCGCATCCTCATCCTTCGCGCCTTTCCGCTCACTGCTGCTCCCCGTCGCCCTTCGTCGCCATGCGCTGTCCGCGCCTGCCCGCTTCTCCGTAGCCCGTCGGCGAGATCGGCGGGGCGCAGCGCTCCCGGTCGCGCTGCGCCCCCCCCCCCATCTCCCCCACTCATTGGGAGAGAAACTGGGGTGAAGATGGCTTAACTTTCCCTCGACTTTGGGGTCTGGCCTTTTTTTTTTTTTTTAAAGGGGGACAAATGCTCCAGTCTATTCGTGGGGACGTTGGGGTAAAATGGCACAAAGTAACGCACTGGAAGACTCAAAGATAAGTCCTTACCTGACCGAGACTGACGCGACATCCCATCATACACCACCCATGTGAGAGGAGGGACCGCAAACACAGAAGAAAGGTCCCTCCTTGATACCAACACATCGGAGATGGGGGGAGAGGCGAGGGAGAAGATCATGATCGCGATAGCGAAGTCCAAAAATAGTCCCTTACCTAATGTCCAATCAATGTCTGCCTCAAAAATGTCGGATCGGACCCTGGGGACTATGCCCACAGTAACCTCTGCCCGTAACCTCTCTCTCTTTCTCATATCTGATGAAGAAGGAGCAGGAGGAGGAGGAAGGAGGAAGGAGGAGGAAGAGAGGGAGACTGACGAAGAAGAAGATGTTGCCTCCCTCGCTGCCTCACCTGCAGGTGCTAATGACGAACTGACCGCTGTTCTGTGTCGGCGTGTGCAGGTCGCACGTGCAAGGGGAGTCCCAGCTATGGCGCCAGGTAAGGTCCCCTTCGTTGCAGGTATGGCCTCCGCCCCTCTGCCTTCTGGTGCTCAGCCTCCAACTCGGTAGCGCAGCGCTCAACCAGCAGCGTATCGCTCAAGAAGTGAGCTACTCAACTGTGTAGTACCCGGCCTCAGCCCAGCTATATGTAGCGCTGGGCTTAGCTGGGCGTGCCTCTGAGGCTGGCCTGAAATGGCTTACCAGGGCTGGGCCCCTACCGGCTATACAGACCACGCTGCTGATGCAGCGAGGCGCCAAAACACGCCTGGCCTGAAAACGGCCTCGCCGGTAGTGTACCCAGCCCAAAGCCATAACTTGGGGACTGCAAGACCGAAGGGACCTCTGAACAGACAAAATAGGACAGCACATAAATAAATAAATGACTGCTGCCTCAGGGTGTACCTGCGGCCGAAAAGGCCGCCGTAAGCCCTGTCTCTTATACACATCTAGATGTGTATAAGAGACAGGCCGGTAGTGTACCCAGCCCAAAGCCATAACTTGGGGACTGCAAGACCGAAGGGACCTCTGAACAGACAAAATAGGACAGCACATAAATAAATAAATGACTGCTGCCTCAGGGTGTACCTGCGGCCGAAAAGGCCGCCGTAAGCCTCCAGGGTGCGTGCTGGATGGCATGGAGCCTGGGGCCCCTCAGCAACCGTCGGGCCCCGCAAATGGGGGCCGTGTGCAGGCGCAGCATCTAACATGTGTGTGCGCGGCAGATCCGCTGGGGACAAACATTCTTGTATTATATTGATAATAATTTCGTAGACGACATCTTCAAGTGTTGATTGTATCTCGATCTGGCTTCTCACGTGTGAACTCTCATGTGAAGGTTCATTGATGTATGTGAGGTGGATCTTGACGAGTACCTGGGTCATTTCAGACATCATTGAAAAAGAGAGAGCATCGCACCTCAAGACAGTCAACAACAGCAGGACAACAGCACGTTGGGTGAAATGCATTTGCATCCCAGGCTACCAGCCGGGCCGCCCGGGTCACCCTATTTTCCCTGGCGGGCCGGCCACGCAAGGACCATCGAAGGTCCTAGCAAAAAAAAAAAAAAAAAAAAGAATAAAAAACAAAACTATGTTATGCAGAAACAGAAACTGAACAAGTTTTGACTCAGGGGCCTGGACCCATTAGCGAAGTATTCCACCACTCTGTTCAGGATTCCGATCACGTGTGGCCTAAGTGAAGCAGTACGGACGTCGAATACATCGGGTCTCGACGGCCGGGTAGTTTCCGAGCAGGGACTGTAAAAATGCCCACCTCCCATCCAATGAGATGTGTCGAAAAAGGAAAAAAAAAAAAATGGACATGATAGCTCGTGGATATGCGTGGGCAGGAAGTCTGGATTTTATGGACTCGAAAAGGGGGGGGGGGTTAATTTCCAGACTTCTTTTTTTTTTTTTTGGCTCTGAGAAATAGAACTTGAAATGTGAAATATCCCTGAGTGAGGACGCCGCCCGGCCGGGCCTGCCCTGGCGGGCTGGGCCCAGCCGGTTGGGCCCGGGGGGGCCGCCCGGGTAAACTGGGCAGGACAAAAAAAAAACCCAGATTTTTTTTATTTTTTTTTCAAACCGGGGTCGTTCTGCGCTCGGCAAGAGAACCCTGAATCTGCAATAAAATTGTGATTTTGGTGGGGGGATAGCGGGGTTGGTCTGGGTGGGGGGTGCTGGGGTGTCTGTGATGGGGCGCAGACGCATTTTTTTTTCCTTTTTTTTGTTGTGTATACAAGGGGGGGCGAGACAGAGAGAGAGAGAGACAGAGAACGGATCCCCTTAACACTGCTCAGACGGCCCATGCAGGCTATCTGAAGGGTCCTCACAGACATGTAGCGCAGACCCCCCCACCAAAATCAAGGCAGGCAGTGAATATGAAATGCCTGTGAAAACACTCAATTGTATCGGTGGGACGCTGGACCCGATTTCCAGCAGGTGCAGCTCCCCACCAATAGATGGAGCCCTGGATGGTGCTAGTGGTGTCTGCTCGTATCAGCACCACTAGCAAACAGAGGTGTTCTCAAAACAAAAACAAAAAAAACAAAAAAAAACAAAAACAAAAAAAGAGCACGAGCTGGCCAAATATATACTCAAGATTCGAGTTCAGGTCTGTGTTTCAGCAGTTATGGGTTGCTCACGTAGCTAGGGCCTGTTGGTCTCTGTACGTGACTCTTAGGGCTTGGCTGCACTAGTCACGAAATGTGCAAAATTAGAATGAATCTTCTGCAGAACGTGCAATAATACACCACCATATGTTTTGTCTTTTGTGCATTTGGTGAGTAAAGGCCCCTAGGGCCACTGCACGCATTCCTAAGAAAAGAAAAACCAGAAAAGAAAAGAAAAGCGAGAAAACAGAGAAATGGTGACCCATAACCAACATGCACAGACCTGAATTTGAATCCAGACTATATATTTTCTGCCCACCCTCAGGGAATACAAGTTTGAAGTATATCTCTGCTTGACGTCGGGTCCTGGCTGATATGCTGTAGGGATCCTTCCGAAAAGAGGCTGGACACAACGAGGACATTTTGTTTTTCTATTTTTTTAATGCGCCGCATCACTTGTTCGTGCGTGCATGTGCGTGCGGCACCCCGCGCATGAGATGCGCTGCAAGTATGATTCGAACACATCTCTCT